CCCCCCCCCCAATTGACCCCCTCCACCTTGCTCCCACCCCTTCCCCAGGCCTTCACCCCATTATTGTATGTTTCCATGCGTTATACATATATGCATATAACTTCTTTGGTTAATCTCTTCCCACCCTCCACCCCCCTTCCCTCTTCCCTCTGAGACATGACAGTCTATTGCATGCTTCAATGTCTCTGGGTCTATTTAGTCTGTCAGATTCTTTTGTTCATTAGCTGCTTCTTAAAGAAGACCCTTCAACATTTCATGTAATACTGGTCTGGTGGTGATGAACTCCTTTAGCTTTTCCTTGTCTGAGAAGCTCTTTATCTGACCTTCAATTCTAAATGATAGCTTTGCTGGGTAGAGTAATCTTGGTTGTAGGTTCTCACTTTTCATCACTTTGAATATTTCTTGCCACTCCCTTCTGGCCTGCAAGGTTTCTGTTGAGAAATCAGCTGACAGTCGGATGGATGCTCCCTTGTAGGTAACTAATTGCTTTTCTCTTGCTACTTTTAAGATTCTCTCTTTGTCTTTAACCTTTGGCATTTTAATTATGATGTGTCTTGGTGTGAGCCTCTTTGGATTTCTCTTGTTTGGTATTCTCTGTGCTTCTTGGACTTGTAAGTCTATTTCTTTCACTAAGTAGGGGAAGTTTTGTGTCATTTTTTGAAATAGGTTTTCAATTTCTTGCTCTTTCTTCTCCTGGTATTCCCATAATATGAATGTTGGGCCGGTTGAAGTTGTCCCAGAGACTCCTTATGCTATCTTCATATTTCTGGATTATTTTTTCTTTTTGCTTTTCTGATTGGGTGTTTTTTGCTTTCCCATATTCCAAATTGCTGATTTGATTCTCAGCATCCTCTACTCTGCTGATTTCCTGTAAATTATTCTTCCTTTCAGTTAGTGTAGCCTTCATCCCTGACTGGTTCTTTATTATGTCACTGATGATCTCACTAGTTTCCTTAATAGTCTTACTGCCCGGCTGGGCGTGGCTCAGCGGTTGAGCGTCGACCTAGGATCCAGGTGATCCAGGTTCGATGCCCGGTCAGGGCACATGCCGGGGTTTCAGGCTCCATCCCCAATGACTCTCTCATCATTGGTGTTTCTATCTCTCTCTCCCTCTGCTGCCCTCTCTCTGAAATCAATAAAGATATATATATAAAATAGTCTTACTAAGGTCCTTGAGCTTACCTAAGTTCTTTATAACCATTGTTTTGAACTCTGTATCTCATAGCTTGCTTGGATCCACTTC